CATAGATCGTTTTTTGCCATTTAACCAGCTCCTCAGACTTGAAGCACATGTATTACAGCAGATGTGGGGTGCCCACTGTTTGTCTTGATCACGTAGTTTACAACCGAAATAAAGCTGATATGCCTTTGTTATTAGTGGAGTAATAGACCGTCTCTGAGACGCAAAAGTCACATCACCACACACGTAACAAAACTGATCTGGATTGTTTACACACTTTCGAGACATCTTGCATGAACGCTGTCAGCCAACTGAGGAAAAAATGGCTAATATAAAACAATATAATGTACACGTATGTATAACGTAACACAATCGTGCCGATTACATCATCTTTCCTTGCCGAATATAAAAATGTAGCACGTGCATTCTTGTGAATTACAGTATATTAACACTGTCACAGCAGGAACACATATAATTACCGTATCTCTAAAACTTGAACTAATATTGAAAAAATAAGTTTCATTCCGGTTTTAGCACATTAAAAATAGTAATATTTTGTTGATTTTATTTAGGATATTTTTTGGCTGTTGATCGGTGTAATGAACGCACGATGCTCTCCACTTTTACTGAATAATCCGCATCGATCCATTACGGGGTCCTCGCTAAGTTACGCTGTTGCCAAGTTATTCGAGTTTAAAATGGGAAATTCATTCCTGGACACCGTGTACAATACTTGGTTGGTAGAATATGTTAATGGAGCATAAAGCATAGAATTATTTGATTCACAATGTCAGTAAAATCTTTCTTACTTACTCTTCTAACGAATGTTCTATAGTCCGCCGCTGCGCTCAAACTGTTTAATTTAATAATGGAAGGACTGTGTACAATAGGGCCTAATCTAGATTCACGCCCTTCAGAAAGGCAGTTGTCGCGTCTCCATCAGACCGTGAACATAAAAAACGATACGCACACACAGAAAGAGGATAAAGCGCCTCTTTTTTTTTATGAAACGCTTCACACAATGGCGACCTGTCAGTCACTTACTCCTAGTTGGTTGCATGTTGCAATCGTGACGTTTGCCCCAATGACTTTTATTATGTGTGAATCGCTGCAATGGGTGGTGATGCAGAATAGAGTGCAGTGATTTTGGATTCGGTTTTTAGTTATAATAATAAAATGTCTTTATTAGAATCATAACAACCCAACCCTATAGCGTATAGAACTTTAAGTTGGCATTACTTTTGAAGATGGCGACCGATTTGACAGCTGTCAAGTGATTTATGCTCAGTTTGGTTTGGCAATTCATCATGAACAACGCTTGCAAATTGTGCAGTTTTGTTTCGAAAATAATGGTTCTGAATACGTATCGCGCACTACAGTATATTCAGATAAGAGATAGACCGGATGTAAACAAAAGGTTCGGGTGATTTTCACGCTAACGCCGCCGTCTCGACGTAAAACAGGAGCCCTCATCGGTCAATTCGCAATTAAATGCGTATGCCGAGCGGCAGAGCAGTCGTATCAAGGCAGAGTCACATTCAGGTTCAGACGTGTTACGTATGTCGTGTGCATCATTGCAATTTGATATTTCTTTGGACGTTTTCGTTTGTTATCTTATTAAGTTGTTGAGTTTGTCGTTGTTATTGTTATACCTTGTTATTGATTGTTATTGTTATCAACTGCTTGCGCAAAATGCCCAGTAGTACAGATACTGCCGATGAAGTTGTAAACTCCTGTAGTCCACCTAGGAAACGCTCTAAAAAAAGACACCTGAGTGCAGAAATGAAAGAGGTCATTTTGAATATATATAAGATCGAGCGCGAGGAGAACGAGGCATCAACCATCAAAGAAATTGTTGTGAAGGTTTCTCACAAAGTTGGGGTGTGTCGCGCATCAGTGTTTAATGTGTTAAGACAATACAAAAAAAATCACACCTTTTCTGAGCCAATGATCAGTAAACATCGCAAAAGTATTGTTAAATCATTGGATGAAGCTGATAAGCATGCGATTAGGAGGAAAGTGCATGAATTCTTCTTTAGGAATGAAATACCTACTATAGATAAAGTACTGCAGGAGGTAAATGGAGATAAAACGTTGCCAAATTTCAAACGATCAACTTTCCATGCGTTACTGAAGCATTTAAATTTCAAATGGAAAAAACGGGGTCGTAATAGTTTACTACTGGATAGAGAAGAAATTGTGCTATGGAGGAGGGATTATTTAACAAAAATTGGGAAATATAGAAATCAAAACAGGAAGATTTATTACCTTGATGAAACGTGGGTAAACGCAGGACACACTACAAGTAAAGTATGGGTTGATGATTCTGTAACTTCATCCAGGAGGGCCTTTCTAGATGGACTGTCCACCGGATTAAAAAATCCAGCAGGTAAATACGAGTAAAAGACAACAATCGGATGTTTTTCAAACCTTGGGAACAAGGTTCTAAACATTAATTCCAGGGGGCAGATAAAACATATTACAAGTAACACAACTTTTATAACTTTCGATAAAATGCGTGGATGTTTTATTGTCATTTTCATTTGTTAGAACTTTTTTAAGCCATGTTTTTATGTGTTTTCGATATGTCCATAATTTATTAATATAATCTTAAAATATGTCGAATATTATAAACTTAAAAAAAGTTACTAAGTTTTATATTGTGTACCGTTCCTAATATTTCTAATCATTTTAATTCATACTTTAAGCTTTATAAAGTTATAATTTGTTAATATTAATATTTGCGCGTATTTCAGGTTCCTGATCATTCATTTTTTAAAGGTTTATAACTTTAAATTAAATTGTGAAGCGCTGAGTAATCATACGACGTTCAATATTCTTTCTTTCAATATGACTAAATAATCCCAATTATAGCAATCTGATACTCATGTCTCAATGTTTTTTCGCTGAATGTGATGAAAACATTTGAAAAAGGTTCGCTTATTGAAATAAATCTACACCAGTTAGTACTTCGATTTCCAGGTAAAGGGAAAAGGCTCATTATCTGCCATGTTGGCAGTGAGGATGGATTTGTTGTTGACGGTCTGTGGTGCTTTGAGTCTAAGAAAACTGGAGATTACCACGAGAAAATGAATGGCGAATCGTTTGAACAGTGGTTTTCAAAAATTTTACCGAACTTAGAGGAAAACGCAGTAATTGTGTTGGATAATGCGCCTTATCATTCTCGAAGAATGGAGAAGGTCCCAACAACGGCTTCAAGGAAAGTTGATGTTCAAAATTGGCTCCGCTCGAAAAATATCAACTTTGAAGAAGCAATGCTGAAAGTACAATTATTAAGAATTGTCAAGGATCACAAGGCGGAATATCAAAAATACGCCATTGACGAAATGGCAGCAAGTCAAAATAAAACTGTGCTCCGTTTACCTCCATACCATTGCGAGCTCAATCCCATTGAGCTCATATGGGCAGAGGTTAAAAATTATATAGCTAAGCACAATACAACTTTTAAATTTTGTGACCTCAAAGGACTTTTCAAAGAAGCACTAGAATTAATAACAGCGCAAAAATGGGAAAACTGTATTAAGCACGTGAAAGACAAAGTTGAAAAGAGAATGTGGGAACTGGACAATAGTTTAGAGGAACAAGTCGAGCCATTCATTATTGACGTTGGTGCTTCAGGCAGTAGCGATGATGAAAGCTCATCAAGCTCATATTTCCAATAAAAGATGTCGTTCATCAAATTCGGTAAGTTATAAGTAATTATAAAGCTACTGTATTTTTTAATTAATTATTGACATTTTTGAACCCATTTTGGCAAAACCTATTCAAGAATCTACTTTCTGACAATGTTCAACCATGCACATTTTTTTACGTTTTGAGCGTTTTAATTTGGTTATATATTTACCTAGAAATCAAAAAATATACTAATCAATATTCTAAAAGCAATTTTAAGAGATACTGTATACGATTATTTTTAATTTAGGCTAATTTAAACGCCATTTTGAGATTGTATTCGATTGTATTTCACCAAACATCACTCGGCATCCGAAGCTGGAAATCGAAGCGAAAATTTTGAAACCCTTATGTATATTTACATCATTATATATTTCTTACCCCACCCCCACATGATCCTATATCCATCACCAATCGTATACACATCGAATTGTGCTAATTTACTACAAAGTTACGCAAAGCAGCATCTACTATCTAAAATATGTACTGCGTGACTCTTAATACGTCCCTGCCGAATGTTACAGCGTTCGATGATCACGTGGTCTTGTTTATGTCCGGTCTATCTCTTATCTGAATATACTGTACGTCCATTTTATCGTCGAAAAAATCGTCCATCAGAGCAGTTAATTCGTTTAACCATGGAACGTTTTCGCTGCACGTTTACTCTAATTGATAACTCGCATCCCCAGAGACGCCGTACGGTGCGTACAGAAGAAGCTATTGCTATTGCAATTGCATTGAGGAAGACCCGACTGAGTCCATCCGCCATCGAGCACAGGAATTGGATCTGTGTCCATCCACTTTATGGAAGATTTTGCGGAAGGATCTTGGTTTGAGTGCTTAAGTTCTGGTTGAGTGGCTTCGTCAACAAACAAAACTGCCGCATTTGGGGTGAAGCTTTTATTGCAATTTAGAATTCTATACCTCTAAAAGAAACACCCGTTATTTACATACAGTACAAAATAGGATACAAAAATGAGCGATCCATGTTGCACATACCTCTTGCATTTTCTGGCCTCCAACAGAGTTGATTTATATGTTAGTTACCATAAGGACTCAAAATCAACGAAGCATATTCCAATTTGGAACGTCATGTACAAAGTATGTTTAATGCAGTCAAGTATTAGCATTTTCTAACATGAGATGTGTATCACGAAAAACCACTTCACAAGGTTAATATTACGCCAAGGACGAATAAGCTTGGTGGTACCGTGGTAAGTGCCCACGAGGCGTCGTGGTGCAACTAAACAGCTATTACCAATTACTGTTTTACTTGAACGCCGCCAGATGGGGCATCAAGCAGCTCAATATGCTCCCATGGAATGTTTTGCAAAGAACGTCACTGACAAGGTTCCAAAACACTTGCCTGCATGAAGTTAGTAAATCATAGTATAAATACCAACGTATTTCGTGGTTGACCGTCCAGTTTTCCAGACGAGAACTACAGTTACCCGCCCCGACCACATATTTTCACTTCATAATAACAATAAAATTACCGGTAAGCATAATAATTCTTCGTCGTTTTAAGACTTTTTAATAATAGCGCCGAGGCCAGGCCAAGACCCGAAGCGGGTCCGCGATATAATAAAATTTAATGCCGTATCTGACCTACAATTTATCTCAATAATTCTCGTTAACGATAACGTCGTTTGTGACCGGGCGAAAAATTTAAATAATAGCGTAAAATTAAAACGTATTAAGGCCGGAAAATTTGGCGCTTAACGCTTTAAGTTGTGCCGTCAGTCGGATCATATTATTTTGGTAGTCATATTTTTTAATATGATTAATCACTGTTGAATAATTCATACCAAAACGGACTTTAAAACGTTTTTACGTAGTTTCAAGAAAATCCACCGTCGGATTTTTGTATGGGTCGAAACTTTTAAATCTGTGATGTGTCGTATCGATGTTTTCTCACCATTTTTCATGTGAGAAACATATTATAGAAATGTCTAAAAAACATTTTGAGTTTATTCATAAACTATTCCTAAAACACTACATGAGCTGGAACACTGAGAGTCGAATCTCCATTATATTACGAAAACACTGTTTTCATGTCCAAATTCTAATTTACTACTCTACACTGATTTATAACAACTAATTTATGACATATTTATAGCCATATCAACCGAATATCTGTAGATTCGACTGTGTCCCCTTCCACTGTCGTCGCGCCATATATTTTGAAACCGACCAATCCAAAAGCTTCCAGAACATTCGCGCGATACTTCTCGAACGCTCCCGATGCCAACCGTACTCTCTCGATCGCTCACATACCCGAGCGCGATCGCTCTAGAAGCTTTTTCATCAAGCTGCGATCATGATGATGTAACTCTGGTTGCCTACTTGAGCGAAGGTACCTTTTCGCTATTCAAGGTCCCAGTTACGAGGGCGTTATAGTAAAAATATTTGTCTGCCTCCAGATATTGCAAAAAGTTCAACCCGCTCCTTTGCAATTATTCTGTAAAATCGTGGTAATGAGATTTATCATCCAAAACAAGCATTTGTATGGGCCGAAACTTGTAAATCTGTGATCTGTGTCGTATCGATGTTTTCTCACAATTTTTATATGAGAAACATGTTATAGAAATGTCTAACAAATATTTTGAGTTTATTTATAAACTATCCTAAAAAACTACATGAGCTGGAATTCCAAATCAATAGTAGCACTGAGAGTCGAATCTCCATTATATTACGAAAACAATGTTTTCATGTCCAAATTCTAATTTATTACTCTACACTGATTTATAACAACTAATTTATGAAATATTTATGATATATGGGTCCCCTTCCAATGTCGTCGCGCACATATATTTTGAAATCGATCAATCCAAAAGCTTCCAGAACATTCGGGCGATACTTCTCGAACGCTCCCGATGCTAACCGTACCCTCTCGATCGCTCACGCGATCACGATAATGTAACTCTCATTACCTAGTTGAGAAAGGGTACCTTTTCGCTGTTCAAGGGCGTTATAATAAACATATTTGTCTGCCTCCAGATATTGCAAAAAGTTCAATCCGTCACTTTTCAATTACTCTGTAAAATCGTGGAATTGAGATTGATCATCAAAAACGAGCATCTTCTATATAAAACTAGTCAGCAAACATGGAATCTTTAATCCTCTATTTAGCCTTGTGAAATATTTGGCACTTTGATAAGATCAAAACTGTCATTTTTAAAAACAGAAATATCACGATTTTGTACCTGTGATAACCTCCAGGTCTCTCGTCAGAAAGGAAGTATCTACCAGTCTTTTTTTCTTCAGCTTACCGGAAGCTCCCCAGATATTTCTCGAACGCTCCCGATGCTAACCGAACCCTCTCGATCGCTCACTCACGTGAACCGCGGCATACGCCGCAAGTCGCGATACATGGTGGTGTAACTCTGGTTGCCTAATTATGCGGTGATAGAAGATAGTATTGTCAAACTTGTGACGTGTCTATAGAAATGATTATCATAGAGGTGTAAAAGTTCGGCTAGCCGTTGCGGAACACCTCATACGTGGTATTTTGCATTAGCTGGGTCATCTCAAATAATCCGCAAAAACTATAGGTAGATCAATTAAGCACACTCAGCTATTACGCCGCTATTACACCTTTTAATACTCCCGTGTGCGCGAGAGAGACAGCAACAGAGAGAAAGAGATAGAGCGAATGTGCAGCAGGCTTGGCCGATGCGGATACACCCATAATTAGCGAGAAGTACCGGGGTACTGCTAATGTGTAAATAATTAGCCTCTTGTTGTTGCTATTGTGTTGCGAGGGGAATTATCAGATCGGTATCAGGGCACTACGTGTAAAACATGCTGGCGGAATTTCATAATTATCATTTTTACTACTTGCCAAGCATTAGCCAGGAAGTAGTACTATGTTTGGAAATGTGAAGTGAATCTGCAAAATGTAGCGTACGTTCGCTAATTTGTAGGATTCAATCATTGTAACTGACTTCAAGGGTATGGTGAAAGTGCTTTTCAAGATCTTTACTGCCAACTTCAGTATGAATGCCTCTCCCAGCGCCCCAGAGTTGTAGTTCCAAAGGTTCCTTGCTATGCGAAAACAGAGCTCTTCTGGAGCTGACTTTATATTCCTGTTATTGAATTGAAGAGATGTGCAGCGGAGATAGCTCTCGAATTAGGTGCTTTCCAAAAAAAAAAATTAAATTTGCTCATATAATATTATAATAATCATAATTTATTTGTGCTATTGCACAGAAATGTGCCTGCACAGGCCAGTTAAAGTATAAGAAAAGAGTAAGTATAGACAACAAACAATACGTAAATACGACAAATATAAAACACAAAGTGCCAATACGGCTAAAAAGTTAATGAAACCAAAGTTAAAATTCAGATGGACAATTAATAAAGATAGTTAAAAAACTATAAAAGACTAAATACAGTAAAACTTATGGCAAAATGAAAAAATAAAGTTTAGGAAGTCTTCGACGTCAAAAAAGGTTTAGACTCATTTGTGTTCAACATCGATGCATCTTATTTTATGTGGCAATAGGTTGTAGAATTTTGAAACGTGGTAGCTAACACCATTTCTAACTTTGGAGAGACGAAGACGATTTGGATACAAAAGTTCTTTGTTTCTGGTGTAATTATAAGTATCTTGATGAGTTGTATAATTGAGAGATTAAACGAACTTACCTAAGTGAAGTTTAATCCTAATTATATGAGCCTCGCCGGAATAAATAATGATACGTGTAGTAGCTCTGCTTGCAGTCAAATCTGTGTGAGATTTGACTGCAAGCAGAGCTACTACACGTATCCTTATTTATGAAGGCGAGGCGCAATATAATTGTGAGAGTGAGCGTGTATTTTTGCAAGGATCCCGTGTATATCAATGTTTGATATGTTTCTAACACTTCTATGTGTGCCTTATACCAGAAAGACGTACGTCATTCTACATGGTAGCAGTGTATTGTGAGATATTGAATTACTCAGATTATAACGATTTGTGTGTATAAAAAGAGGAATCTGACTCATCCTTACAACTATAGACCTATAGCTCTACTTTCTGTGATTAACATGGTGATCCAGAAGTGCATCATTCGTGAGGCGCATGTCATTAATACTGATACAACGAAAGCGTTCTATTTCTCTTATATTATAAATTTCCAACCTCGCAAGGAAACTCTGCAGATGGTGGCTGACTTCCTATTTGTCCGCAAGATTCATTCCGCAATGTCATCGCGCGTGTCCCCAATGGTCTCATCTCTCGACCGCTCCACAACTTTGCTGATGACAGCACTCTGCACGCAGGCATTCAGTGTGGCTTCTCATAAGCAGGAGATAATAAAAAGAATTCACCTAATGTCGCTAAAGCTATTATGATGCTAAAAGCACGACATTTCTAGCTTTCGAACATACTTCTAAAAGGCTGATAAGTGGATTTCCTGAATATCTTCTCCCACTAACTTATCTAGAAGTCCACAATACAGACAATGTAAAACAAACGCTGCTTTCTCCGAACAAAATATCTATATAACCACGAATCGACAGCGGTAATATGTTAATTTAACAAATAGGTGTTCATCGGAGAGCTAAAAACTCGCGTGTTCGTCTGGTTATAAATAAAAAGACTGAAAAGACAGGCACGCGGGTCTTGTAGTTGTGAATGTATCGTGTTCTGTTGTCTCTTGAATTATGGCTAATATATTCCACGGAAGATCAGGTTACAGCGCGATCGGCCTTGATCGGTGCTTGGACACCTTTTTTGGGATCTTCTTCGTTCGTAACGGGCCTGGTTAGCCTAATGAGCATGCCAGAACATCGAACCATGCTCATAATTTTCTCATTTTTGTCGAGCTTTATCTGGCCGTATATCCACTAAATAAAAACAATTCATATTGAAAGACTACATAACCTCTTATCTACCTACTTAAGTGTTTTTCGTTTTTCTTGAGTCATTTCGAACAAAACAGGTTTTTATTCTCCTAGATTTTTCTTATTGTGCTTGTTGTCGTTGTTTTTGTTTTTCTTGTCTTTCTGCCTTTTTCTCCATCATATTTTTGATTCCCTCCAAATATTTTTTTCAGCCGCATCGAATTGTGGTGATTTTGCTGAAGGACATCGTTTTTAAAGCATTTTTTACATTCTACTGAAGTCCAAATCTCGGGGCACTCCGACTGCTTGTAAGAAGCTCAAAGTCACCTTCATAATCCTATTTTTGAATTGTCTAGGATTAGTAAAACTGGAAAAAACCGTTTCAGGTAGATTATTCCACAATCTCGACATTCTATGAACAAAGGAAGCGGTCGTACCGATGTAGGAGAGTTCTGAGGAGCACAGCCCGTTGCCATAGCGGTAAAAAAGAGTCACCGCGGCCCGTCGCACAGTGGTCTGGAACTCCCATAATGCTGACAAAAAGTAAAAAGATGAAGTAATTTGAATGGATGAAATTCATCATGTATTCAAAAGTGCTTGAAATAATCAGGTGGCCATGAAAACAAAACCTTATTTACACTACTTTCGCTATGACAGATCATCAAACTTGAAATTTGTGGTATGTAAGAAAGGCGATGTGATACCGAAAATACAAATCTAGCTTTGTATCAAAATTTAAAAATAAGTGGCTGGGGGTCAGTCGACACAGGTCACTTCTTTTATTCAGATTCAAAAATGGGGTAATGATGCGAAAAGATATTTGTACCCTAACCTCAAAATAGAACGCTGACACGGAACAGGAAAAACTATGTAAATCAAGGCGTCCTACAATTGCAGGGACGACTGACGATAGGTTCCTAAAAGATTAAAAACTTCCGAACAGCACAAATTAAATTAAGAGCAGAGATATGAGCTGCAAAATTGATCAAAGATCTATTTAACCTCAGGTTCTTTTAGATATAAGTTTGTTTTTAATTGTGATATAATTAAATCGTATTGTATGTTATGTTTGAAATAAAATGTTTCTGTGTTTTTTTAAAAGAATCCTTCGTATTCGGCAATTACTATCATGTTATAATCATCCTCTCCCCTATCAGATATCATATCAACCCATTTCAAGGAGCCGACGCCATATTGGATACGCCATATTAAATTTCTGTTTCTTGACAGCAGATTTTAAATCCGCGACCCCAAAAACCTTCCTATGCCAAATTTTGCTACAGAAGCTATACTTTTTTGCCGGCTTTTTGGACGTTCTAGACTACTATGCGATGGCACGAAAGTGTCTCGAGACTGTCCCGTAAAGAAGCAAGAGCAGACGCCTTCCTCTCGGTCACTTTATCTTCAATCGCTCCAAGATTCTTGAGTATGTCTTGAGTAGCAAGGAAAGCATCTTTGGAAACTTTTCTCGTCAGAATGGATTTCAAACCGCTCAGTAAGGGGTAAGGTGACATTTTTGCTACCAAATATAGGAAGTTCGACCTTGACCGTCGTGATGTTAACGCTGGTCTAGCTGTGACAGTCCGTGTCGATGACAGTTTCTCCACGTCTTTGTTTGCAGGAAGAAGGAAATCGTACCCTGATGGATAAGTAGGACCTCATTTACCTTTGCAGCAGGAACTGTGAATAATGCAGAGACGTGTTCAATTCCGTTTTGTGTCAATAATATGGAGAAACTGATGTCACAGCTGGACCAACGATTTACAACAAAGCCATGTCGAGATTCCTGCATTTATTAGCAAAAATGTCACTCAAGGAGCAGACTGCAGTTAAGTTCGGAAGTGGTTTGAAACCCATACAGAAGAAAACATTTAGAAAGGTGCTTGCAATGCCACTGAAGATGTCGTCAAGAAACTTGAAGAGATTAAAAAGAAAGTAGGCTAGAAAATATCATCTGCTCATGCTACAAAACGATGTCGTACGTATTTTAACAGCAAACTCACTAATAATGGCATGAGGATGAAAAACAAATGGAGGAAATCAAAAACATGATGGAGGGGCAGCAAATACAAGAGAAACAAAAACAACTATAATCGGAACAAAGCTCTTGTAGATTTCACAATACAGAGTTGTATCGTTCTCCAATTACTTAGTCTTATATCATCATCGGAAGATTATCATTTAACGTACATATTGAAAAAACAGTCAACTGTGCATAAAATATGTTAGGTCTTATAAATCGGCATTGAGTTGATTGTCGCTTTTTCCTTCTAAAATTTTATTTTGTTCTTTACTGAGTATTGCTGCTCTATCTGGTCCCCAAGTTATGACTTACAGATCAATCAATCAGAGCGTGTACAGAAAAAGTTTTTGAGAATCTGTGGATATAAATCCTTCTCAACATCAGTATGACTTCTCATGGGTTGGAGTTCGACTTACTTTTCTTGCCCAAAATTATCAATGGTCATATTGATTGACCTCGAATGTTAGGAAAAAAATCACTTGATGATGTGAGAACGCGACATACTGTTATGAACCCATAACTTGTCTTTTTAGGTTAGGTAATAGATATATACCTAACTTAGAAGTATTTGGAACTCCTGTTTAAACGGAGTGTTAAGAGCATTACGATGTAATTCCTTATATCAAGACTGTCATGAATTTGTAACAATGGTTTTACTAGTTGATTAAATAAAGAAATAAATATATTGTGAGGAAAACATTATTGGTTGATTAGAGAAACAATGTAGATAGCTCATTGGACACAATCAAGCAACATTATCTGTGAAAAGTCGTGCAAAGGTGTATATCACCTTCGGTTATCATATAGAGCGATCTACTTTACCGGTAATGCCGCGGTAACCGTAATGGCCGACTATCACGCCACACCGGCCCTAATTGACTTGTGAAATTGACACAACACCTTCGCAGCGATGCCAAATTAACGAATTTTTATCAGCTACGGGGATTGTTTCCCCAATAAGCATATCATTGATCGACAATCTGGTTTGCTAAACATGGGGTAAACACTCGATGGACGCTCTTTTGGGTTTTTCGGTCCCCAACCATTTTGAGGATTTTTCCTTCCCACGTCACCGGCGAAGAAGTAATGCAATCGCAAAAAAAACGTGAATCGCCTCCATAACAAAATTCAACGTATTGGATGATCTAGAACTGGATATATATATATATATATATAACAACACGTAGGAAAATAATGGGCAAAATCCGCAAAAAGGAAGAAAGTGGATTCGAGCAGAAAATAGGATAGGTAACCCGAGCGATACGTATTTCTGCTGGTTGGCTTCATCAGGCCCGAAATATATGTGCATTCATTTCGGGCCTGATGAAGCCAACCAGCAGAAATACGTATCGCTCGGGTTACCTATCCTATTTTCTGCTCGAATCCACTTTCTTCCTTTTGGCGGATTTTGCCCATTATTTCCCTACTTGTTGTTATATACCTTTCTCCGCATGATCATATTCTCTTTATATATATATATATATATATATATATCCTTGAATTTCTTTGGGTAGAAGGCAAGGTATTGCAAAAGTACACTCTTATATCTTGAACTCGAGCCTTCGAAGATCTGTCTTCATCGTCTGGAGCTGGAAACAATTATTGACAATAGCAACAATTGACAATTAGGAGGAAAAATAGTTACTTACTAAGTCGCCGAGATTGTTGCTGAAATTGTTTAAAAACAGTGAAGGGAACACATAGTCGACGAATAAAAAACTGGACTGATGAGGTTCGATTAGGACGGAATTATTTTATTATTAAATGGAAAATAATAGCTATGTTTTTTTTATTATATAAAAAGATCTTTTTATATATATAAATATATAAAAAGCCTTACTGTTGTAAATTACTCGACACAGATTTTGATAGCAGACTAAATTTTCATCAACATATTGACCATGTTTGTAAACATTTAAGTAAAGCATATTTTTCTCTAATGCAAAATAGATATTTTCTAAACGAAAAATACCTAGTGATACGTATATTATACACTTGCCTATAGCCACATATCTGACAACATTTGTGGCCCAAAAAAGGAATCATTAGAGTAATTCTTGGCTACTTGAATCATACAGAGAATACAACATAAGAAATCAAATTCTGAAAATAGTTCAGAAACGTACTGCCAGTTATTTCTAAACACAACTGCTTCGTATTATTAAATAAACTACCAGTTAAAATTCAACAAATCCGTAATTATAGTTCTTTTAAAAATAAAATCAAGAAATTATTGTTAACAAATTCTTACTACAATGTAGCTGATTACTTGAAGAGTGCGAACTTGCACTTGAGTACATACATATGCTATCAATAGTTATCCATTTATTCATATGTATTGTTAAGTTTTTATTGTTTTATATTAATTTTCTTTAACCACATAAACAAATCTGTATCTAGTGGATATGAATACAGAATAAAGAAATATGTTTGTTGGATGTTATATGACATCTAAGTTTTAAATTAACAATGTGACTGTCTATAACTAGGGAAGCACCGTTCGGATTTTGACGAAATTTTGTCACTTGGTGAAGTGTATGGGAGAGATCTATAGTTCTTGAAAATTGATTCAGTGGTCATTGAGCCACAAGGAAAAAATGAAAAAAGAATAAATTCCCGAAACTTCATTTTGTGACGATTCCAAAGGTTTCTGAACATTTTGAGGCAGGGGTTAAAAAGTGGGGGTTGGGGGTGAGGGGGGTTAAAGGGGATTAAGAGGGTGTATTTCATTTTTTTGACTCTATTATATCATAGGTTCCCCGGCACATTTGAATGATAAAGAAATGTTTTCGTTGGATGCTTCTCTGGATACACCCGCGTCGAGATCTAACCGATTACGTTTTGGAACTGCCCCGTATACTAATTCGAAGAAAGACCAACAAAGGCACGTTCGAAATAACCCTAACTAATTACACACCTACAGACGGTGTTTAGCGTTTCCCATCCAGCAGGTTTTAAATGAAATACCCCCTAAAAGTGT